ATCCCCTGCTATCACGTTATGTTCAGTCGAGAATTACGGTTCTTTTACTAGAATAACTTCCGCCCCACTAACGATAATCGTTGTCCCTTATCCTCGTGGTATTGCGCACTTTTGATTCCTTCTACCCGAAAGGATCGTGTTTGGGCGAAAGGTTTAGTTCTGGGTCCTCCTCTATTCTTCGATCATTTTGGGTCAAATTGTTGATGTTCTTCATGAAAAAGATGGTTGGCACATAAGGACTCCCCGTGTTATGCCAAAGTGTGGTGTCTTCTTTCTACATCTCAGATGTTACTGTGATTTACCACAATTTTTGCGCCTTACCGAGCCACTGCTAGCATATTTTGGTCCAGTGTGCAAGGATTGCACATTTTCGAAATCCGTGCCTCGGTTGACTTTACAGTGATGCATGCGGAAGGATTCTGTTGTTGAGTCCCTTACAATTTCATCCTCGGCTGGTACATGTAGCCACAGACATAAAGGCGAGGGAGTAGATCTTCATCCATTTTGGACGTTAGTTCATTCATTGGATCAGTCGGCTCGGTAGTTAATATTTGCTCTGTTCTAGTTCTTTTTTGTGTGTGTTTCTTCAATGTTGATTGTTATCTTAGGCTCTCGTAGTGTTTTTTTGTGTTCATAATTTGCATTGACGTCAAGTAAATGCCTTTTTCCACGCTTTTGACTTCAGCTATCAGCAAATTGCATCGCTCCACCAAGTGCCCGGTCGTGCACCACAACCGAGTGGCACATCGGCGCTGCGGATGGCCGCTTCCTTCCAGTCTCCCGTGTGCTACATCCCCCATGCCCAATGTGGGCGGTCTTCGGCTTCCAACGCTGTCGCCACCACCGGCCAACTGAAGGGTCAGGATGCCAGAGGCAAGTCACAGTAGCAGTGATTTTCACGACCCGTGTTTTGTGTGTGTGTGTGTGTGTGCTGTGAGTCTTCGATTACGTGGTTGACACTAGTGCCGGGCACGTGACGATTTTGTGCATTGCTAAGCAGGCGCTTTGACAGAAATTTGTGCCTCGTGCTCTCCCTTCATGCTTCCCTCCGTTGCCTTCAGTGGGAAGAATGTTGCATTTGCGTAAGCGCTGTGATAGACACGTAGTGAAGTGCTGCACTCGGTTCTGCCTTTTTGCAGTCGGTGGTATCACTTCTCACGCCTTTCCTCACCTAATTATAAGGTAACCAAGAACGTTAATGTGGTCTTCGCATCTTCCTTCGTTTTCAGGTTAGGATTGACCTCCCTACGAGAAACGAGTTGGTGATTTTAGCTTTTGCAAGTTACTATGCCATTGGAAGCCCAGGAAGAATAGGTCTAGCTCTAACTGCCTCTACTTCTGCCTAACCTAGATTACTCAAACGTCCATATCGGATGTGATTGCCCACTGTTGAGCGCACTTTCCATTAAGGTTCTACCAGCATTTCATACAGGCTAAAATTGTAGGAAAGTAGCGAAGAGATGTGCATCCATGCTCCAGAGTGGATACTAGGTAGTCTCATGCATTTGACGCGTCATTTCCTGTACTGAGAACCACACGAGCCTATTTTATTCAACTGGTACTGCTCATGCAACACCCACTGAATGGTATTTGTTTACTGGCAACGAGGTGTCATTATCTTGCTCGATCTAACTGAAAATTGAAGGAAAACTCGCGCTTCACGGGTGTCACTAGTCCTGACCCATCTGTGTTGGGATGTCGAGTCTACTGAGATTGGTGTTAGTAAAGCGTGGCAATGCCATGTGTTGTGCATTCACGCTAACACATTGACGCATTTCACTCCCCTAAAAA